GATCTACAACTTTCATGTTGGAAGTTTCCTTTGAATCATCTTGCATCATGGTGAAAATTTGGCTCAAAGTTATGAAAAAACATGAAATTTCTAACACTTAGAAAAAATTTTAAGTTTAGAAATTTTGACTTTTCAAAATGAAATCTTGACTTTTTGATTTCTTGATGAATAATTTTCATATTTTGACATGTTTGGATGAATTATGATTTTTGGCACTTGAATTTGACCAAAAAGTGACTTTTTAGTATACAGTTGACTTTTGATCAGTTGACTGCAAAATTCATCTGTTAATCCAATGGATTTGCAATATTTTGAATAATGTCATTAGGTCAAAATGATGAAATTGGACTCTTGAGATCATGCCTTAAACCAATTGACCATTTGCTAGGTCAAAAATCAGAAATTGTCCTTTCCCAATCAAAACCCTAATTTTGATCATTTTGCCCTTTTGGAGATTTGATCAAATTTCTTGAGGAATTATGGTCCAAACTTGATCAAATGGTACACATGGGTTTAAAATGTTGATGTGGATCAAAAATTATGAAGTTTGACTGTAAATTGACCATAGTTGATTTTTTCCTCAATACAGTTGATTTTTAGGTCAAATGTTCAATTGACTGATCAAAAGTGTGATCCAAGGCTTGAAATTTGACATGAATAATCTTGGGGGTCCATAATGGTCCATGAAAGTCATATGAAGCATTGATAGTTCAAAAATCCTTGTGCAAACTCAAATTCTAATTTTGGTCATCAGTGCATAAGGAGGTGTCTTGAGCTGATCAAACCCTAGTGCAGTCTTGAGCCCAAGGAGATCTTGTGAGCAAATTCTTGATAAGTGAGAGGAAAAATTTTAGGGTACAACACATATCCTAGATACATTGACTATAAGCAATTATGACTCCTTTCTTATATAAAGTTATTCACAATATCTCTTTAGAAACTTTATCATATGTCTTCTCCAAATCATTGAAAATTAAATATAAATTATTTTTATTTATTTGATATTGCTATGGCTCACGTCGTACCAAATAGACTACTTCTATGAACAACATTTCATACATAAAATAAAATTAATTATTAATAATTTGAATTTCTTTTCTTAATCTTTTGTTCAATTTTTTCTCTCAAAATTTTACGGCATAACTCGTAAATTTTATCTTGTTTAGCATAATTTTATGCATCCTCTTATATTTCTTCTCCATTTATCAAACATTTGTTTAACTATAGTTTTGCTAAGAGGCTAAAATAAAACAAAAAGATAAAAGAAAGTGCGCCCTAAAACTAACTTAAAAGAGATGAAAAATGTAGCTTTCCGATTTAGTAAGGTTTGAAAACTACAAGTCACCTAAAAATACTCCAAAATATATTATCATAATGATACAAAGTACTACAATTATAAGAAAAATCCAAATAACTCATGTACACATAATTTTTAATTTACCTTTTCAACATATCCTTATTGTCAAAAGAATTATTTTTTGTTGAGTGGTTTAATTCTCCCTCTCTCACAAACTCTGCCGGCATAAAGATTAGCATGTGGGGGCTTGTTTCACCATTTGATGTAGTTCTATATTATTCCCCACTTGAAATCATCAATAAAATAATAGGGTAGAATAAAATAGAAGGTGACATATTCAACTAAAATAATATGAGACATGGTTACTAATTGTATATAAAATCACCAAAATTAAACAAATATAAAGAGTGAGTGGAACATTATGCATAAAAAAATGGTAAAGTGTAATATAATTAACTTGTGTTTGAATCATAAAGTGTAGAAATCATTTCACGTGGATTGTAATACAAAGCTAAGGCACCTTTGATCATGTGACATACAGATAGAGTTAGAAGCAGAAACAGCTAATTATCTAATTAATTAATTAATTAATTAATTAATTAAGATAGGAATTTTTTTTTAATGAGTAATTTTGAATTATTTTTTAGAGAAGGAGAAACAGAAGAAAATAGATTAGGTGGGTGCTTGGAAACACCTTTGCCCTATCATCACAACTGTAATGTCTTCTGTTTTCTAAAAAATTAGGCAAATTAATCAATCTAATAAAATTAATGCAATATTTTCCATTCTACATGATATATGGATATACTATTTATATCTAATTTTGAATTTTTTAAAAAAAATATTTCTATAAAGGAAAATAAATATTTTCAAGTTTCTCCATAAACAGGTGGATATAAATTATTGAAAGAAAGAAAAAGACATTGATTAGGAAAATATTATATTATATATATTATACTACATAATTGACCAAAAATAAGTATGATATGACCCACCTCTTCTGGCTCCATTATGTAATGTATTTAGTGGAATGAAAAATTGTTTGTGGAGACAATGACTGAATTCTATTTTTTAAAACAAGATTCAACTTGTGAAGTATTATAGGCCTCAAAATAAGATCACCCTCTTTAAAGTTCACTTACTTTTTCAATCAATATGTTTCTCCAGCTGCCTTATCTTCAAATGGCATTGTTTTTTCTAAATATCTTATTGATACAAAATATATCAGCCAACTTCGCTAATAATCAATCTACGCGATTTTTAGGAGTTGGTCTGTTGATTGAAACTTAAGACTTAACTGATTTTAATTACGCATCCGCTAGTAAAAAGTGAGATTGATTCTCAGATCAGTTGATAAATCAGTTTGATTCTAAAGTTATGTAGAAAAATTAGATTGATGGCTTCATTTCAAAATACTTAAACTACTTTACATCAAGAAGTCTAGTCCAATTCATGTTAGAGCTTTCAATGCCCTTTTATATATTCCACAAAATTTGTTAATGTTTTCAAACAAATTTTAGTGACACACGTTTTATTTACGATGGTGTGACCATTTGAAGATAAAGATATTATAAGTGCAGTCTATCAATTGTCATTGAAAATGAAGATGAAAACATAATGATAATTTAACATTTTGGTTACAAGCAGTGGAGGATCCATGAGCATGAATTAATAATGATAACAATATATCATAAAAAAACGTCGTTACATAAATTTATCCGCAATTCAAAAAAGAAGGAAAAAATTGAAGAGACAAGGGAGAAAAAGAAACTCAATAACTTTGGATTGTGTCGTTTTGGTTAGGACCGCTGTGAGTTGGTAGTAATTGACCAGTTGATAAACGGTGAAATTGATTGATTTTATAACAAACGGTTGGTTCATATACATCAGAACAACAGTCTCAATCATGTTACCAAACATTTTGCTTTATCTGTCAGAAGTACATTCATTTAATAATTCATGAAAAACTAATAATCGACTACTAGTATCATCGGACCTCATGTTCACACGTTCAAATCTAAGCGTTTTCGGACCTCAGGTTCAGATGTTCAGACCATAGTGTTTTCGGATCTCAAGTTCAGACGTTCAGATCATTATGTGTTTTCGGATTTCAGTTCAAACATTCACACCACAGTGTTTTTGGATCTCAAGTTCAGACATTTCAATCCTTGTGGTTACGAGATATTATCTGTTTTAAGTTTTGTGTAAACCCTTAAGGTTTTTTCCGACTATATTTCTCAACTCAGAAAGATTATTCTCAACATTTTTTTTCCTAAAAAATAAATAAATCTAGCCAGTAGTCCTATACTATGAACTTAACTAGTACTCCTAAAAATTTACAATTATAAATGTTGGTAGTTAATGGTACATAACAGAAGTAGGTTCAGTATTAAATTAGGCTACCTATCCCAAGGGGACCATGCTCCACAAAATTAAAGGCCACAGGTTTGTGGTTTCGACGAGGTGTAACAGAAAATCAAAACCATGCATGTAGCATCATTTACCAACTAGCATTGTCGATTAATGCGGCTGGCTAACTTTTCCATTCACTGGACTAAAGGTGTAAGTTGCTTAATAGCCATTCTTTTCAATTATTTATGGTACTGATAGTTATTGCCAACTGATTATTTGATATGTACATGTTTGCTACTTTGCTTTTTAAATATCTTGACAGCTATGCTAGATTAGATTTTAGCTTAAGTTTGACTGGCTTTTCAATAGTTAGGCTTATTTTCTTCAATACTCTTGTGTCAATAATTAACATGTCACTTTTCTCAGTTAAATCTCTAACAACTTGAACCAATCCATTGTTGGGAGAATATCTATCGTTTTTTGTCAATAAAATAGTTATGCTTTTCCATTCATTAAAATATGATTAACCTGATATACTTTTTCAAATGATTTTAAAAAATAAATGTACATGCCTGTGATATCAAAATCAGAAAAAACATGAAAAATTCAATCTCATAACCTTCAGCATTTAATCAGTTCATGAGCTGAATATTGAAAAGTTGAACCTGGTGCATTTAATTCACTAGCCAACAAGATTTTCGGCACAAGTTCAATACAACTCCTTGGTTCGAATCATGACTTATTGAACTGGTTTACAAATTCCCTCAGTAGGAGTTACAAAATATGACAAAGACGAGCCGAAGGAAAAAGTAAGTGCAGGAACAAGTATTGCATGGTATGATTGACTCATCCAGAAGTTATTTAAAATTACAGAAGCAAAAGTACATTGCTCATTTAACTTGAGAAAAATATATCACAAAGGCAAACCAAACTGATAAATAACCTAGAATATTCACAGATGATGGAGACCTGAAATCGGTATATGACTACAAACTCAAAGTCTAGTTGCAGGTCTTATAAAAGCATTGCCTCAAATTTTTAAAAACCAGCAGATGCATCAGTTTCTCAGTTGAAGCAAGATGAGTAAATGATTTGCGGCTCTTTAAATATTAATAACCACTACTCATATGGGGCCGCAATTGTCCAGATGCTTGAAAGAGCAAGATTCAAGTGGCCAGGTTGCTTCCAAACAAAATGTGTTTTCTGATTCTTTCTATATTAGGAACTTCGTGTTTCCCATTATCAAATGATTCTACATTCCCTGAAATTTACATTTCGAAGTTCAAACCAATAAATAAGAGTGGTCTCAAACAAGAAAGGAAGGAACAAGAGATCAAAATAATCAAATAACTTAAATAGAGGAATCAAGACCGCAAAATAAGCACAATACATTGACAAAATAGCAGGCAAAATCTCCAAAGAGAGATCCAAATAACAGAACACAAGTTGTATATTGTGATTCCACCAATTCCAAAACAATTAGAAGACATAATAGCAGGCAAAATCTCCAAAGAGAGATCCAAATAACAGAACACAAGTTGTATATTGTGATTCCACCAATTCCAAAACAATTAGAAGACATAATAGCATATAGAATTAGGTTGAAATTGTAAAAGCATTAAGCATTAAAGTGAAACAATGAAGAGCTCTTGAGTTGAAAACACAAATATTCCGAACCATACCTAAGCCGACAGATTTATTCCGAACCGACATAAATAAAAGGAGACACATTCAGATTCAGTTGGCAAGGAAAACACAAGGTTTTAAAATAGATTATGAGCGGGATCTCAGCCACGACATTAAGGTCGTAATGCATCCACAACCGAATTGAGGCCACATTTAGCCACATTATTAGCAGTGTGGCCAAAATCAAAAACTTGAGGCAAACAAGTGCAGACAAACCGACATGAGTACTAAGCTGAGGTTTATTCTTAACATTTATTTCAAGTTGCAATCCATTAACCTATCACAAAAACATTCTTAACAACTTGAATATCAAAATAACGTAAAAAGTCAGGAATGCATGCAACTTCATATTTATATTAACCTAAAGTATGAACTATATAATGAATAAAAAAAAGACAGATCAAAGCAATTGTAAAAGATGCACCTTAGATGGGAGCAAAAAGCATCAAAAGGAATTCATCTCAAGGCAATAAGTCCTCCTCTTAATAAGCATGGTAGCAGCAGACCTATAAGGCTCTTCAAAAGCCGTAGAAACCCAAGACAAATCAGATCCTTCCTTCTTAGCAGTCGTACTTGACATCTCACTAGGCCGAATAGCAACAAGAGTAGCGCCTTTCAAAACAACCCCATCAGGTAACTCCAAATGCGGCGCATACCAAAGCCTCATATTCAAAGCAGGTACAAGAGTCCTCTTTGAAGCAGAGGAAGCCGAAAGCGGCTTCACCCTCAACTCTTCAAGCTGATCTCTATTCATATACAACACACCTTGTCCATCTGCATCAGTCAACACCAAATTATCCAAAGTCTTATGCTCGGAAATAATCGGTTGCAACAAGTAATGCCTTGCAGATGCAGCAATCAAGGAACTAATCGTCCAAACTACCCTCAATTTCAAACCACCGTTGGTGTAAAACGAATCGGGTATACTTCCATTATCATCACCACCACTACCGCCATTGTTGTTATTTCCACCACCACCAGCACCACAAGTCGCATCAGCAACAGCACCGTCTTGGGATTTGGGATAAAAAACAGAAGAAGCCCCTAGAATGACACAATTATCAAGAGTGGATCCAAAATCAGCTCTCCATTTCAACAAAACCCCATCCTCTATCCCTAACTCCCCACTGGGAAGCTCGATCCGAAGCAAGCGAATCTCATTAAAATTCTTCAAAACCTGAGTAGGTGAGTGGTGCGTAACACCACCATCTCCATCATCCTCAGTACCAACAGCAAGCGGCGAAGAGGAATTCAAATTCCCGGAATTGGAATTGGAAGCTCTCTTGGGACCGAGAAACTGACCAATAGTCTGAATCGGTTTGGCAATCCCACCAAAAACCAACCTCAGAAGATTCCAGAACGGACCACGAGATTTATCAGATGAAGTAGCGGAAGAATTGGAATCATCATCCGAAATAACACAATCAACTCTGACAACAACGTTTTCAACCTGAGGGACTAACGAATGAAAGCGACGCGAGACAACACAGCATCGACCCAAGGCTTTAACATCACCGATCTTGTTGAAAACCAAGAGAAGAAGAGAATCAGGGATGCGATCGAAGTGATCGATTTGGGGGAAATAGGGGTAGATCCGGTTGGGATTAGAAGGTTGATCTGTGCGAAGTGAACACATGGTGTGATAGATCCAGGGTTTGATTTGTGATTGGATTGTAGATCTGGTTTTAGGGAAGTGGTGAAGACGAAGATTTAGGGGAAATGGAAAATGAGGAGACAAATAGACGCTTATGGTTTTGTCTTTACATAGAGAGAAACAGAAAAGAGATATTATTATGTTATGCGCCTAGAACAAAACGGTGAATCACTCCTACAGAGAGGGTCTCATTGTGTTTCTCTGTTGCTTGCCAATCCTATAGAACCAAGACCTGCTGTCACATGAATTGCCGTTTTCATTTTTTAAATAATATCTCTCGTTAATCAAATCGATCATTCGTTAACTCCATTATTAATTATTAATCTTTTTTATATTTATAAATATATATTTTAATTATCATTCATAAATTAAAAATAAGAAAGAATTCTAAATTATACTTACCATTCATTCAAGAACCTCTTATGGATATACACTGAGTAATTGTATTTTATAATTTCTTTCATCTTTAATTTAAAATATATTTTTATAAATTAATTAATTAAAATAGTATGTTTCATTGATCAATATATATATATATATATATATATATATATATATATATATATATATATATATATATATATATATATATATATATATATATATATATATATATATATATATATATATATATATATATATATATATATATATATATAATCGTACCTGATCAGAATGGACCGTCACAGTTTACTCTAAACAGAACTTGAGAGTGAGGTGGAGGGTACCTGCAGGATACTCTGATGTCAAAGTAAGTTTCGAAATGAGCAAGCGAGTATGAGAGTAAGAAATGTTCAATACCTGATCCTCTCAGAAGAGAGGGTATTTATAGCCCTCAGCGCTAGGCCAAGATCCCCATTGTTGGGCCATGTTGAGGCCCAATAACGGAAACTGTCAGGGCTTATGTGTTTATGGAGTCCAGCAAGTGGACTCTCCCCTGGCCAACTTCTCTGTGAGAATAGGGGTTGGACCCGTGATTTCTAGAGGCAGTTAAGATGACTTTGACGTGAGGACGTGGGCCACGTTTCCCAACGGATACATGAGGAGTTGCCCAACGGTCCCTAACTTGGGTTGTCTGCTTTTGGGCCTCCCATTCGGGGGATAAGTGTAGGCCCATTCCAAATCAAAAGCCCCCTAAGTTATTGCCCTTACGTGAAAGGGTGATGACTTAAGTTCAGCTTTTATAGCGGGGGATTTGATCGGGAAGGACGGTCGAAGTCCTCTGAAAGGAGCGGGTTGTTGCCCGCGTGGGGGATAACCTGTGTAGGTGTGTCGGGGACAACCTGTTTAGTTGTTGCCCGCGTGGAGGATAACCTATTTAGTGAGACCGACGGGGTCAGTTGCTTGGTTGAGAGGATCGTATTAGTTACGGGGAGCTTCTATGAGATCTCTTTCAACGTGTCCTGTCGTCAAGAGGATGTTGCGATGTCGAGCATTATTTTGTCCTCAAGATAGAGTGCGATAAATGTGCCTGTATGTGCGCCATAGCGTCGAGCATTCCCTCGTGTGAGGTATATGTCTCGTGCTCGCATTGGGATTATGCGCTGAAGTCGGGGATATGCTCGTTTATCGAGAAGGGACAAGTGGTTGACTGTTGAGCCACGTGGCTGCTGCTTTGGGGTGCCATCCCTTCAAGGGAAACCCAAAAGGCCCAATCCAATGATAACTTTTCATGATGGACCTCGTGGGGCCTGAGTCACCTATAAAAAGGGGGCCCTTGGGTCTCATTTGTCATTTTCTCAAGTTTTCTCCTTCAACTTCTCTTGCTCGTGCGTGAAGCGTTCCTCCTAACTTTTCCAGATTTTTTTTCCTAGAGTTATTCATTCAAGTTATATCTCCTCAACAACATATTTCTTCAGCGTTTCTGGATTAAATATCTAAAGTTTGCCTTGACCGGATGAATATTTATGATTTCTATGATAAACACTCATGAATGTTCATTCAAGTTCATGAGTTCTGCAACGAACACTCATGAATGTTCAATGAAATTCATTAGTTTATGACGTCGGGGAAGATCTCCCTGAATAGTGGCCATGATATAGGGGACGTTATCCCCGAATAATGGGGGTTGACTCGGGCTTCTTTCTCATTTGAGTGAATATCCCCCACGACAACATAGCCTCCCAATGAAAACATAGTCCGCTTTAGCGTATAGTTGAGGGCTTAAGTCGAGTTCGTCGCCCTTTCACTTGATCTGCGGTGAAAGGGTGAATTTGATAATGTCGAATTCACTATTTTCTCTACTTTTCAGGTATAATGGCGCACTCAGTCAGGGATGATGTTCTGCCCGACAACTATGAAGATGAGCCACATGTTGATGAGGAACCTCTGGCATGGGTTGCTCATGAGCCTCGAAATAAGAGGTCGTGCTTTTCTCAGGATGCAACAGACGCGTTTAATTGTCTAGAGGTACGAGCAGAAGGGGCCCCTGCCAATTGGGTCCTTCAAATTCCCCACCGGAACCGAAGAATATGCTCAACGTATCCGGGAAAACGTTTCCCTATGTACGAATTTGCATTTAAAGAGGCGGCGATGCGTTTGCCCTTCAACGATTTCCAAGTGGGGGTTTTTCAATGGCTTCAACTGGCGCCCTCTCAGCTTCACCCAAACGCGATGGCGTTTATGCGGGCGTTCGAGCTTGTATGCCGGTATCTGTAGATAGGGGCCATGCTGCCCCTATTTTCTGTATCTTTCATCTCCAAAGACAATCCATCGGAGGGGGGCAAGCGTGGATGTCGTTCAAGCAGTTCGGGAAGCTCTTTAGGCCTTATCTGGAGTCTGTCTGAAACTTCAAAGAGAGGTACTTCGTTATAAAACCTCTGACGGACACGGCCATAGACTCCCTATACACTTTCTTGGAAGAAGTGGAGGATGGGCGGCCAGTTACCCGACTCATGGCTAGATTTCTGCTCGAATGGTAATGGAAACACTTCGAGCGAAAACCTGAATATTATGCTGTGAAGCCTGAAGACTTGGACTCTCAGGACCAGCTCTCCTATGAGAAGTTGGCGGCCTATGTTAGGAGCTTCTCCCGTGCGAGGTATGTGGACGTGAACAACAACCTCCTCTTTGAAAACAACGGGGAGTGCCTTTTAGTCAATAGCTTAATCAACACAAAGGCCCTGCTCGAATGTTCCTCAGATGGGGAACCCACAAGGCTTTTAGGTAGGAGACGCTGTCGCGATGATTAATTTTGCTTGCCTTTCATACGGGGATGTGCCCGTGTTATTTTCCTTATTCTAACCCGACTGATGGTTATTTTTTATTGCAGATTGAATGGCGTCCCTTTTTGAGCGCTTGTTGAAGTTGAGGCCCAAGAATGCATCCACCTCGGGGCCAAAGAGCAGGGTCACTCAGCTCCAGAACAGGCCAAATTTGTGGGCCGTGCCAGCGGTTCTCCCTCTTCATCAAAAAATTTGGTTCCCTCTGGCGAGCCCACCCAGATTCTCGTCAACGAGCCCACGACGAAGAGGAAACGCGTGGAGAATGTCGAAGGTGCAGTGCCCGAGGGTGACAAAGTGCCCGCGGGGGTCTTTGTGCTACCTCCTTGCTATCTAAATCGTGATTTCTTCAGCTGGGAGAGCTCCATGGGCGTGCACGAGGAGGAGAGGGAGGAGATCTTGTTCGAGGATAAGGAATTTCGTCGAAAGAATATAGCGGAGGATGTGGCCGCTGTCATGAGGATGCTCGAGACAGCCTTGTCACTGAATGACTAGGCCACGAGCTCTCGGGCCTCTCTCGACACAGCATATGCCAAGATCCAAAAGCTGAAGGACAAGAACGAGAAGTTAAAGTGTGATATCCTTAATCACGAGTCAAAGTTTGAGGCCCAAGTTCGACTTCTTAAGGATCTAAATGAGCTGCGGCCTCAACTAGAGGCCGCTACTAAAGAGAACGAGCGTCTGGTCGCCCGCACGAAGGAGTTGGAAGGGATCACGGCCCCGACTAAGAAAGAAACTGATACGGAGAAGGGCATGGCGTCCATGGTAGAGTTGATCGCTCGCATCCGAGTGCTTGAACAAGACGTCATGGACACCCTCATTTATGATTTCAACATGGTCGTTGAGCAGCTGAGAATCCTGAACTCGGGGGTTAAGATGGTGGTTGAAGGGGCGGGTCCATTCAACCAAGTTATTAACGGGAAGATCTTTTATCCCCCCGATAATAGCGACGGGGAAGATGAAATTTGATTATATTTTAGGGTCTGCATGCCCGTTCTCATTTATTTTTGATTCGTGGCTGTCGTGCCTAATGTGTAATTATTTTTGAACAGTGTCGGCCTTCATGGTCGGCATTTATGAATGCCTTTTTTTTTCATGTATTTATTCATAAATAATTCCTCTTCGTTTTTTGTGACTCGCTTATTGTATGAATATCCGTATGTATGTTCGACCTTTGTTGTGGCCGACGCAAGTTTTCCATGAAAGTTGGTTTCCATGTATGGAGATATGTGCTCGATCCTTATATTGTTCAACACACGTTGGGATGTGTCTAGGAGGCAGAGTAGGGATCCGCAGAATGGGTGTAAAATCGCGGTTGGGATCTTAAACCTGTGGTGGGAACTTCCCATCACGAGCTGGGTGTTCTGCCATGTTGGGTACTTCGACAGCAGAGCTCGATTGAGGTGTCCCTGTCGGGCTAATGTTTGGAGGCTATGTCCATACCTAGACATGCCTACATGGTCGAGCTAATCCACTCATTGGTTGGAGAGGATCGGTCGATTGCTAACGCCCGTAGCAGGTGAAGAACTTTAGCTATAGTATTGTTTTAGCTTCGTGATGTTCCAAGGTCGAGGTAGTGGTTCTCCATTTAACTGTTCGAGGTAATAATCTCTGGTTCCCATAGCTCCTTGCACAGGGTACGACCCTTCCCAGTTTGCGGCCAGTTTCCCCTTGCGGGAATCTTTCTGGTTTCTTTGCAAGACTAGGTTGCCGACCTGGAATTTTCCCTTTATGACTTTATTGTCATGGCGTAGGGCTACC